TACCCATGCAACATGTTCAGAGTGTCCTTTCTGCTAGGAAGGCAAGCAGAGCCAAAGGGGACTTTCAGTTTAAGGCTATGTATATATCATTTCAGTATTTTTTTTAATCTGAGAGAGAGAGATAACAAGTATCAGGAGGGGGAGTGGGGCAGAGGGAGAGGGATAAGCAGATGCCCCGCTGAGCAGGGATAAGGGGCTCAATCTCAGGACCCCTGGGATCATGACCTGAGCCAAAGGCAGACACTTAACCGACTGAGCCACCCAGGCACCCTCATTTCAGTAATTTAAGACAAGAATGTACCAGTGTACTGCTTATATAATGTATGTAAAATGTTTTAACTAAAGAAAAAAATCCCAAAAGCAAGGAGGTTTCTAAACTGTGTGTTCTTACAAAACTGGAAGTCTTCTACGTTCATGCAACATATTTTTCACAACCTAATTACAATCATCCTTCTCTTTATCCCAGATGGGGAAAAAAAGCAGCTTAAGTTGCCTAAAGCCACATTCAGACATCACCAAGCACCTAGGAAGAGGGCAGATTATGAAATAATGCTTTAATCAATATACAAGTGCTTATACTGTAGAGCACATGTTTTTCTACAAAATACAAAATAAAGTCACTATATGTTCACTCAGGCAGTCTGCTGCTAGAATCTATGACACCTGTATCACTTCATGCATTCACCCAATTAGTATTTATTGAGTACCTGCTATCAGGCCATCTTTATTTTATGAGAGCCACTTGGAATTTTATAGAATTCAATTAAGGAAGTGGTAAAAACAAGGAATGGTATTCCCAGGAAACAGGAAGAAAATGAAGACATTCCAAAAAATGCTTTTCTCTATCATTCAGAATCTAGTAGACAGATCTGCTGTATGCTTATTGTCTTTCATTGTAAGTAGTTGCTTGGCTATGGGGCTGCTCTGATGAACCCTGGCTTCCTTGAAGGGAAAACTTACAAACCTTTGTTTCTGTGGCACCTGTATCATGGCTTGAGCAGGCATGGATTCAGCCAGTCAGTCTACAAATGCTTACTTGGCACCTGCAAAGAGCCAAGTATTGTACTTGGCATCTGAGATAGGAGATGAAGAATAGAACACTTTACAGTTGAGCATTGGGGAAGACATATCACGCACACACAAACAAAAAAATGTAAACAAGGGAATCTCCAACTCAAATAAACTATGTAGGAAGTAAGCTAGACAAATGCTAGGCAGGTTGGTACTTTAGATTGGGTGGTCAGAGAAGCCCTCAGATGACATTTAACCAATAAAGTTGAGGAAGGGAGCTCTCCAAATGCTCTGAGAGGAGTATTCCAAATAGAGGGAACAATTCCACTGAACAGGCACTGGAACCAGAAAGAACTTAGTTTATTCTGGAAGCAGAAAGGAGACCAGTGTGGCTGTAGTAGAGTGAATAAGAGGTTGGTGAGATCAGAAAAAATCCAGTCCCAGGGGAAACTGTTGAAAAGTTTCAAATAATAGAGCAAATGAACCTGGTTGATGACTTTAACAAAGGAAAAGAAAATACTTCAGGTGTTGTGTAAGGAGAATGAATTCTTAGGCGAGCAAAAGTGGAATGGGGGATACCAATAGGTAGCTATTCATGGGATGGATGAGTGGATGCATGGATGGAATGAAGAAAAGGAGGAAGAAAAGGAGGAAGAAGGGAGGGAGAGGAAGAGAAAGAAAAGAAGGAAATGAATGAATGAATAATAACTGTGATTATAAAGGAGCAAGGTCTATGCATTTTTAGCTTACATTAGTTCTTATGTCAAATTCCAAAAAAACAAAAATTATTTTGAGATAAAGGAACATTGTTGGAGTAAATAGTTTTATAAAATGATTGTCTTGGGATCCCTGGGTGGCGCAGCGGTTTGGCGCCTGCCTTTGGCTCAGGGCACGATCCTGGAGACCCGGGATCGAATCCCATATCGGGCTCCCGGTGCATGGAGCCTGCTTCTCCCTCTGCCTGTGTCTCTGCCTCTCTCTCTCCCTCTCTCTGTGACTATCATAAATAAATAAAAATTTTAAAAAAATGATTGTCTTGAGAAAGATAATATACATTTAGCAATAAAATGACTGGCATATCTTTAAAAATAGTGTTCTATAGTTATAATACTTGAAACACAATCATAACTTTTAATACAATCCCATATCTAGAACTCTGTGCCTTGGAAGTACACAAACACAGATTTTTGTGTAAAGGATATTTCTTATTTTAAATGAAAAAAATAATTATCTCTGCCTGAGGAAATGATCTAATGGATTATGCACATTTGTTCTACTTAATACTACACAGTTCTCTGAATGAATGCTTTTATCCCATATAATCAGACATGGACTGATGGCCTTCTATAAACAGTGGAAAAAGTAAGTTACAATTTGTGTCTTTGTGTGTATATAAAAGAGAATAGGGAATGGTCAAGAACTGTACTAATACTGTAGCCAGTAGCCACATGTGGCTATGGAGCACTTAAAAAGCAACTAGTCAGAAAAGTTATATGTTCTAAATAAAAAATACTGACTGGATTTTGAAGCATAAAATGGAAAAAAGGAATCCATTAATGATGTTTATATTTATTCTACATTAAAATACTTTAGATGGGTGAGTTTAAAAATCTATTAAAAACACACTTCACCTGTTTCTTATCTTTTTGCAACTTTTCTTTTCATTTTTTTTTTATGATAGCCACACAGAGAGAGAGAGAGAGAAAGAGAGAGAGAGAGACAGGCAGAGGGAGAAGCACGCTCCATGCACCAGGAGCCCGATGTGGGATTCGATCCCAGGTCTCCAGGATCGCGCCCTGGGCCAAAGGCAGGCGCTAAACCACTGCGCCACCCAGGAATCCCTGTTTCTTATCTTTTTGAATGTGGCTAGTAGAAATTTTTAAATTACCTATGTGGCTCTTGTTGTATTTCTACTAGCTGGTGCTAGCTGAAAAGAATGAAGTAATAACACTGATTATTCCTGGGGAATAAGATTGGGGAGAAATTTTTATAAGGAGGACAGGAAATGGGGACAGTGACCTTTAACCTAAACTCTATTTATCAAAAACCATTTAATTTAAAATTTTAAAAATAAAGAACAGAATTCCAAAATCTGGAATTAGTAGTTAATAGTATTGTAGTTAATAGTGTTGTACCAATGTTAATGTCTTGGTTTGGACAAACGTACCATTGGTTACATAAGCTATTAACATTAGGGGAAACTGGTGAATGAATATAGGAACTCTCTGTACTATAATTGCAATTTATCTGTAATTCCTGAAGTATTTCAAAATAAAAGAGTTAAAAAGCAACAAGGGAATCAAAGCAGTCTAACAAGATGTGAGTCTTCCACTTCATAGAGATTCTTACTTAATACTGTAAGACTCCAAATCCGCTGCCCCAGAATGCCCCTTGTAAATACATTTACTTGAAATAAGGCAGCTAGGATAAGTGTCGTATTTCTTAGTTTTTACCTGAGATTCCATTTGTTTGGATGACTCTTTTCTCCCACAGTGATTAGAAGCTATTTGGCTGCTGTTTACATAATAGGATTTCTTGCTGAAGTCCAATGGTTACAGGGGAGAATGATGGAAGGCACCACTCTTGCCACCCCCCAAGAACCTTCCAGAGACCTAGGCAGCTGGCAGCTTTTAAGCTCCTTCCCCTTGGATCCCTACTTTAAACCTTCAGATTCAGCCAATTCTAAGGTCAAGAGATTTTTGCTAAGACCTAGTGGTGAACTTTAGGATAAAGAAATGAATTTTAAAAATCTATATTACAATATAGCTATATATACTAAAGTATATAGTCTATTTGTTACAATATAACAAAACTGTGGGAAACAACCTTCCCCCTGATGTGTTTTCTGAACAAGAAGGAAATTCAGCATACAATTGATCAGTAATGGTAAGTGAAACAGCAAGTGAAATTTAAAATAGATTAGATACAGATGTATAGATTATGGATATTTCAGAACTGACCAAAAGAAAGTAAACGCTGCATTAGAGTATAAAATATTTCTATTTTACATGAAATACATTCAAAATGAGTGAAAAAGTATCAACACAAAATGTAGAAATTACAAAGGACAATGTATCAACCTATCACAAAGCAGGTTATAAGTGTAGAGTATAAACTATATTGAAATATTTTCCAAAAGTGACCCACCCACAGAACAATTACATTAAAATAATGTACACATTTAAACAGATGTCCCACTATCACCACACATGAATAGCTTAAATAATCAAAAAAAAAAAAAAAAACAAGTCAATTCACTGGTTTCTCTGGAAAAGGACTCACACCATAAGCAGAAGGAATTTGAACAAGAATTCACAAAAGATTATCACTGCTATGAGTAAATGAGTGACTTGGAATGACCTAATTATAGTCACCATTACTGAAAAAAAAAAGACACAGAGGATCTACAAGCCTGAAACATTTCTGACTCATACTGCTTCTCGGCACAGATTTTTCCACTGAAAATGGACTAAAATCTGAGCTCTCCTCAGGCTTGAGAACCTTTCAACCAAATGATCCAGGTGCCCCTTTTTTTTCTCCACTTCCCAACGGAGTCCCAGAAAAAGATGGTGGAAAAAAAACTTAAAAATTGCTGCTCTAGGGCATCTATCTATACTTATCTCCGAAAAGATCCAGACTTTCTGAATAGAAACTGGAGACAAAATTGTGTTCAGTTTAATTTTTTGAATTTATATTTAAATGAGAACTTTTTTAATGTTTTTTTTTTTATTTATTTATTGATGAGAGACCCAGAGAGAGGCAGAGACACAGGCAGAGGGAGAAGCAGGCTCCCTGCGGGGAGCCCGATGAGGGATTTGATTCCAGGACAGAGCCACCCAGTGCCCCAAAATGAGAATTAAGTTTAAATAAGAATAGGCATGAGGGGGTACCCAAAAATCAACTAATGGGGGATTGGACTGCTTGGAACTTCTGTCTAGGAAATTCCAAATCTAGAAGTGATATGCAGATATAACATGATAAGACCTTACCTTTGCAGTTCAAAAAGGCCAGGGAGCCCCCTCTTGTCCTGTGGGTCTCCCATGGAAGAGTTTCGGAGGAAAAATCCTAAGAGCAAGCCACACATTCAGTCTTATTACACTGTTTTTAATTAAGTTACCATGTATCTCCTGGGCTCTTTGTAGTAGCCTTGCAGGGTTAATGTTCCCCTTTCTGCCAACTTCTCCCTTCCAGATAATTGACCTAGAGTAGATCCTACTCTGAAAACCAGGATTCCAGTCCTGGCTTACTGGCAGCCTTGACCTTGAAACTAACTTATTCTAGTCTTTATTTCTTTCTATGATGAGGAAGGCAGGCAGGAAAATATTCCTATAATGCTTAAATCAGTTTTTTATTACAAAAGAAATTACTCAAACAATCATAAAAGCACATAAAAGGACAAAGCAGAATTCTGTCCCATGACCATTGGCCCCTATGGGGTAGGCGTATTAATTTTGTAATACTCTTCCAGACATTTTTAAGGAAAATGAAAAAATTGCATCAACTACATACACTGTTCCAAATTTTTATATTTCTTTTGTTAACAATATAATATTCTCCTTTGACAAATTACATAAGCTCTACGAGAGTAGGGATTTTGTCTACTTCTGTCACTGCTGTATTTCTAGGGACTAGAACACTGTATAGAACAAAGGTGCCAATAAATGCTCACTGACTGGATGAATGGAATGGATCCTCCTTACCGTCAGATCAACTACAAGTTCTGTGGGGTTCAAGGATATGTGTATTTGGTCTCTCTCTATGGTCTCAGCACCAGAGCACCTGGCACATAGTAGACATTCAAATATTCATTGAATTAGCAAAACAGCTCAATGATGAAACCACTTAATTCCTTTTAACTACACCAGCATGTTGACATCACAATAATCAACTATGCTCCCGTTGATGAAATAAGTCTTTCACAAACGTGGTTGCAATGATCATCCTGTATACATTACCCTTGTTTAAATATTTTTGTAGAATAAGAATCTCTGTGGGGGAAACCATTGAGCTGGGCTCAAGATGTTCTGAAGTCCCTTCCCTCTAGAATTTCATAACTTTAAAACACAATTAATTTTTCATCTTGTATGAGAGCTGCTACCTATAATTTTGCAAAATAATCTCCCTTATATAGCTTCCTGTACAACACCAGTACTTCCCAACTATCTAAATGCAGCCAGAACATTATAACTCACACAAGACTGCCAGAAAGACTCCTAGAAACAAACAAGCTGCCTACATCCGTGGTGACCAACATTTTCTGCATACAGCATGGTAGCAGTTGATTATTACCTGGAGAGGGGCAGTTCTCAAACAGATTTTTATTATTGATTTTTTTATATGCTGAGGAGGCTCAACAGGAAGGGGGACACAGGGGCGCCTGGGTGGCTAACTCGGTTAAGTGTCCAACTCACTTAAATCAGTTTTTTATTGCAAAAATTGTAATTGAGTAATTGAGATCAGGGTTGTGAGATCAAGCCCTAAATCAGCCTACATGCTGGGCATGGAGACTGCTTAGGATTCTCTCTCTCCCTTTCTTTCTGCACCTCTCCAAAAAGAGAAAGAGAGAGAGAAGAGAAAACAAGAAAAAAGGAAGGGGGACACAGACAAGAGGCTGTAACAGACTTCCAAAGACCTGATCTAGGGGATGATGCAAGAAATAAACATCACTTTGAACTAGGTAAGAGCAGATATGGGAGCTTAGAAATTATCTATGTATTCTCTAAGAAGAGCTCTATCTAAGCTCTGCAACAGAAAAGGCTTTCCAGAAGCCTACCTTTCTCCTTATGTTTTTTCACTCCAAGATATTTAGTAAATTTCTATGGTGTTTGAGAGCTGTGTCAGGCACTGGGCAAGCAACAAATAAGCAAGACAAATCAAGTCACCACCACCTTGAAATTGAAGCTTCAGGCTTTCTGTAAAAGGACTGGATGCTGATAACAGAGATTGCTGGAGCCCTTTGCCTTCTTTCCACCAGAATTTGTGTCCCAGTCACCACTTCTTCTTCTGTGAAAAACAGAGCTCCAGTTCTCTCCATGAATGAAGAAGTTGCTTGGAGATATTTCCTGTTGAGAGTGTGCCCCGGGCAAAACTTGGCAACACATCAAGAGCACACTTCCTTTTTCTCTAGGAGCTCCTGCCACATCACAGAACTTGCTGGGCAGTTTACCTAACTGGCAAGGCAGAGCTCTGCAGTGGCATTTACTGTTAAAGAATCAAATTTCAGAGAAGTAGAAGTCTTGAGACTCAGAGAGAACATTCAAGATCAACTACTCCTCCTCCAGGAGCTTGTTTTTATAGGTCACAGATCTCTGAAAACCAGTGGTCCCTTTTGACTTTCTGTCCCAAAAAGACATGCACATATCTCAACACATAATTTTCTCTATATTTTCAGGAGCTTTGTGGATACATTGTGTGACTGATTTTCCTAGAATTTCAGGGACCATATATTAAGAATTCCTACTCTATGTAAGAACCCATTTGAGCTCTAATGCCCCAATTAGCAGTCTGAGTTGGGTGGCCCCAGTGGCTGAAAGACAGAGGTGCTGTTATGCCTAAGTACAGTGCAGGGCACAACATTTTTTGCTCCCTACAGGAGCTAATTATCTTCAGAAAATATAAAAACTCTGTTCAGTGGCTGTGGACAGAGCCTCTAAAACCAATCAGCTGACACATTTCATAGTTTTCAAAGATGATGCACCACACTCAAAAATGATGTAGTAGGATCTGGTGGCATTTAGAGGGTTAGACCTCCGAGTTGTCAGGATTGCTGCTCACTGTTGACATAGCAGTAGTATTCATAGGGATCTTCCATTTCATATATGTTCTCCTCAATGACGTAGATGTTTTCCTGTGAGCGCATTCCTTCTGCTCCCGTATTTGCTAACCCCAAGGGAGAGGGGTTGGCCAAAGTGATGAGGCTGTGGAAATAAATGTTGCAGTTGAGTAAAGCATCTCCTGGGCAGCACAGAATAGAGTTAAAAGAACAGGCTTGGCTGAAGAGACCACAAACAAATGTAGTACATGATCCTTGATCAGGTCCTGACTAGGAGGAAAAGACCATAAAACAGCAAATAAATAATTTGTGGAACAATTGAGGAGATTTGAATTCATCTTAATTTTCCTTTTTTTTTTTTTTAAGATTTTTATTTGTTTGACAGAGAGAGAGAACACAAGCAGGAGGAGCAGTAAGCAGAGGGAGAAGTAGACTCCCTGCTGAGCAGGGAGCCCATGCTGGCCTCTATCCCGGGACCCCAGGATAATGACTTGAGCCCAAGGCAGACTCTTAATCTACTGAGCCACCCAGGGACCCCATCTTAATTTTCTTAAGTATAAAAATGACATTGTATTATAAGAAGGGACAAATTGAAGTGTCCAGATGCCTGAAATGTCCTTACAAATAGGCCATGAAAAACCTCTGTATATAAACAGAGAAACAGACCAAACAAGTATGTCAAAATGTTAAATCATGAGTTTTGTTGAAGGGTTCTATTATTTCTTGTACTGTTACTTCAGTTCTTCTGTGGGCTTGAGCAATTTCAAAAAGAAAAAAAAAACATGAGTATGTTATGGATCTGATCAGACTTGAGTTTGAATTCTGTCTCTGTCTTTTACTAGCCATGACTTTGGGTAAATTGGATGGTTCATTGTTTCTTTTTTCATTCACTTAATCAAGAAATATTTAGTGTGTTATACACTGTTCTAGGAAGCAAGAAATGCTGCAGTTAGAAATACACAAAAATCCCTTGGAGGATGTTAGTAAACTTTGTGTCTCAGTGTTCTCATCTATAAAATGGGAATAATAAACATTCTGTTTCATAGGGCTGCTATAAGGGGCATTTATGCACTCAATCACTCAATCATCAGATATTTAACTACTAAGCATCACATGCCTTATCAGGGGATAGACATGCTAAAGTGGCAACAAGACTGCAATATAATAGACCAGTAGATCTCAACCCTGTTGCCACATAGAATCACCTAGAAAACTTTAGACAAACACCTTTGCTTGGTTCACGTCCTCAAAGATTCTGATTTATGTGCTCTGGCATTGGCAATAATATGTTCAAGTGCCCTAGGTGATTCTTATAGGCACCCAAGTTAAGAATGCCTGGGCTGAGCTATAAAAGCCCTTGAGAGTAGATCTGGATTTCTTGCTCACTTTTTGTAACCCAATGCCCAGCCTAGAGCCAGAATGTAGCTCAATTTCTGGAAGGGTCAGTTCATTGTAAAAAAAAAAAAGCATTGATATACAAATAAGCATTTCCTATTAATAGCAAGATGAGTTCTGTACTTTAAGAAATAAAGCTAGAGAAATCAGAAAGTAAAACAGAGGAGTGTGTTTAATTGGCATTGCATTAATCTAAGTAAGCCTAAGGTAAGAAGAAGTATAAGTTTAAATGCTAGGGCAGGACTTCTAAAAGCAAAGCCATATTATAGTAGGGGCCTCTAAGATTCATACCTTCTCCTACCCCATCCATTATTCTTACCTTGAATTCTGTAACTTCTCTTTGCTATATGAATACCCTAGGTAAAACGTAGAAGAAAAGTCAATTAAAAATGCTCTCATAAAAAAAATGGTCTCATAAAACAAATGAAATAAGAAATAAAATGAACTCACTGGAGGCAAGGATTGTTTAGGGAAATCTGGTTTCCCTTTGGATTGTATTAAATCAAACTATTAGTGTATATTTGATTCATTACATGAACTATGCTAGTAAGTAATAAAAATGCATTCCTTACATTCAGCAAATATATGAAGCATCTACTATGTGTCTGGTAGCATGCTGGGCACTAGGGATACAAAAGTAAATTGTGAGCCGGACTTCTTAAAACTTATGTTCTAGTGAGGGAGGCATTTTTTTTTTTAATTTTATTTATTTATTTATTTATTTATTTATTTATTTATTTATTTATTTAAGAGAGAGTGTGTGTAAGCAAGACAGAGAGGGGACAAGCAGGGGTGAGGGGGTGCAGAGAGAAAGGGAGAAGCAGATTCCCCTCTGAGGAGGGAGCCAGTGAGGGGCTGGATCCCAGGACTCTGTGGTCATGACCTGAGCCGAAGGCATTTGCTTAATGACTGAGCCACCCAGCTGCCCCTGAGGGAGGTATTTAAAATAATAGTTTCTTATTGTGAAACCAACAGTGCATTAGAACAGATGATTGAGAGGGTAGTCAGGAAAAAACTCTCAGAAGAGGTGAACTTTAAGCTCAGTTCTGTAAAAAGAGAATGTGTCACCAAGTGAAGAGCCAGGGGGAGAATTCAGGCAGAGAGAACCCCTGGTAAAGATGGTGGTGAGTTCCTGCAACTGAAAGTATGACTGAAATAAGAGAGTGGCCCAAGACAAGGTCTGAGATGTAGGCTGGGGCTAGCTCCAAAGTACCTTTTAAGTCATAATCAAGATTTTGGATTTTACTCTAAGACCTATCAGAAATAATTGGAGAGCAGAAATATGAGAACTGATTGAATTTTTCCCCACATAGCAACTAGACCACTCGAGGGAACAGATAAAAAGGAGATATAAAAAAAGAGATTAAAACAAAGTATAAAAAAATGAAAAGGTAAGTAGAGATCATGATGCCTCAGATCAGAGTAAGGTGGTAACCAAGAGAGATGCAGAATAATGAATGGATTTTACATATATTTTGGAGAAAGTCTGCAGGATCTGAAATTGGATTTTGTATTAGGAGGAAACAGGATTCAAGGATGGCCTCTGGCTTTCTGGCTTAAGCAACTAGATGGATGATAGTGAAAAGCTATGATGGGGAAGACCAGAGGCAGAAGTTGTGTTCTGGGAAGGTCAAATATAAACTCTAGACCTCCATTTTGAACATGTTAAATGTGGGAGACAGTGAAGTAGAGGAAGCAACTGTACAAACACTCCGAGTTGGAGCGGAAAATTAAGGATGACATTTAAGTCTATGAAAATATAGATCATCACTTAGAAAGTATAGAGAAAGGGAAAGGGCCAGCCCTGAGGAATATCAACATCTAAAATTCAAGCTGAAAAGGAAATAACAAAAATGATGAAAAGGAATGGCCATTGAAGTAGGAGAATGATGTTCTAGAAGCCCAGAGAAGGAACACCTTATAGAATGAGTGAGAGTCAATCTGGTTAAATATTGCTGAAAGATTGATTACAATGAAGACAGAAGTGTCTACTGGATTTAGAAAATGAGGTCGTTGGTGATTTTGACTAAAACTATTTCCTTGGTGCTTCAGATGTAGAAGATAGAGGACGGGTTAAAGAGTTCAGGAGATACAAAGTAGGAAAACTCATCTGAGAAATTTGCCTGTGAAAGAAAACAGAGAAATGAGAGTAGTTAACAAGGAATGTGTGAGTTAAAACATATTTTTATGCTAATGAAAGAATAATAAATAGAAAGAGAGAGGTAGATGATTCTAGGGAAAGGGGTAAAAGGAAGAATAAAGTCTTGACTAAGGCAAAGGAGATGGAACAGGTCTTTTATACTCCATCAGATGAGTGAGAAATGAGGGAGGTTTGGGTAGTTCTGAGGTATGGATGCTGAGTGCACTAGAAAGATATAGGATTGCTGGTCATATTGCTGCCAGTTAATGGTTTTGATGTCATAACTTCAAATCCTGTCACCTTGCTTTTAAGATTTTTCTCCAGAAAAAAAAAAAAAAAAAAAAAAAAGACTTTTCTCCAGAAAAAAAAAAAAAAAGATTTTTCTCCAGCAACTACTAGAGAAAAGATTGCAAATCAAACAGGACTTTCCCATCTGTTCTTCTAAGTAGCCATGTTTTTGGAGTAATATAGCTGTAGGTACAAAGTGCTAGACTTCTCTCATTCCTTATGAAACCTCACTTCAAACCTCTTTACACAAACTAGAATGGCCCCTAATATCCAGGCCATGACAGAACTCAAAAATGTAGTGAGTGTTATTGCTCTTCATCAACCTGTAGACTTTACATTCATGTGATCAGTTCACGAATTCCCCTGCCTGTCAGTAAACCCAGTAAGTGTGGATGGGGTAGCTTCTTTCTTTGAACAATCCATTTACAATAATGGCAGAACAGTATAATGGTGAAGAAGAGGAGAGTCTTGTCTTCAAACCCATATCTAATGAACTAACTGTATGACGTTGGGCAGCATGCTCATTCTCCACTTGGTAACTTAGAATAATATCAATATTTCTCTCAGTATAATAGTTATGAGGATTTAATGCACTTAAGACACTCATCAGCTTTAAGCCACACAACTAGGGTGACCAATTCATCCTGGTTTTCCCTTCACTGTCCCAGTTTTAGCACTGGTATCCCACATCCTAGGAACCCTGTCAGTCCTGAGCAAATCTGGGACAGTTGGTCATCTGATAGACAGTCCATGTTTAAGTATTAGTAGGAAAGGCTGCTAGAATGTACTAAGCTGCAGTATAAGGCCTTGGCCTCTGCCCTCAAAGGGAAGAGAGTATATCACAATTAAAACAGTGAGACTTCTGGGGTGATGGCAATGTTTGGGTCTTGATTGTAGTGATAGTTTCCTGAATGTGATCTATGGAAATTCATCAAGTTGAACATACTTTAAATACGCAGCTATAGTATATAAATCATACCTTATGAAGATTTTTAAAATAAAAATAACTTAGAAAACAATGTGTCTGTTGAGTGCCATGAAGGAACAAAAAAAATGTTTCAATCCTGGCCCATGACCCATTGGTTAAAGGACTTGCCACCCTCTCTAAAGACTTGTGCCTGAGGAGATGAGTTAGGACAATGCACAGAAAGAAATATTGTGGCTGTACTTCCCAATAAACCTAATGCATGAATTAAAGAAGTTTGTGTTCTTAGCAAAAGGTAAGAGTCTAGGTGCTAGAATCAGCCTGCCTGGGTTTGAATTCCAGCTTTGCCTTTTATGGGGAAGAGGCCTACTCTCTTAGTTTCACTTTTCCTACATTATAAAATGGTGATAAATACTACCTACTGCATAAGATAGTGATGATAAAATGTACATAAAACATTTAGCACAATGCCTGTGTTTTACATGGTATTTGCTGAGTAAAAATTAGCCATTATTTTTGGTAGGTTTGGGAGGACCACAGAGTATTCAGTGTAATCACCTTCAGGTACAAATATAAACTTATATCTAGGTTTGTGTTGGCTCCTATATTTACACTTCCTTATCAGAGGGAGAGAGAAGCAACACCAACCAACTTACATGTGAGAATTAAAGCACCAATAATAAAAATGAGAGCCAGCCCAGCGGAGATCCCTGCTCCAATGTAGACGCCTAGTCTGGTGGTCGCACCAGCATCTTCTAACTCATTAGCCAATGTGGGTATTTGCTATGGAAACACAAACAGAATTGCAGCAAGTGGCCAGCGATCAGTTGTGTGGTCACCAAGTCTCATGACTTGTGCATCAGACCATCCCCTTAACAGCACCACAGGAATGCAGGGACCTTGAGACTACTCATGATCTGTCTCCTTCCAGGCAAGCCTCAAACCACCCAAAGAAAGGGATGAGCATACTCTTCAGAGTTAGTAGGGAATAAAATATGCCACTTCTATGCTGTGGGGGCACAGGAGTCTTAGCAAATAAAATCTCCTCTCCAAATAAAAATGGGCTTTAGAACGGAACTCCCTTCATTCAAGGTCCCCTGGTGTTCCGGGGAGTTTCAGAGTGGTCTAAACTTGTGTCTGGTAGAGAAACCCCCACCTTCACAGAAAGACAGTGATTTAAGGGCCAGCCTTTGCAGCCAGACAATCCTGGGTTCAAATCCCAGCTCTGCCACCATTGTGTAGAGTTCTTGGGAAAATTAAGTGACAAGAGATATAAAATGCTTGGCACAGGGGCTTGTATATAATAAATGCTTAAGCAGTGATAAGTATTATGGCTATTGCTCTAATCAGTTGAATTTTTTAACAGAGAAAATGCTTCTGCTTCCAAAATCTTAGTCTACGTTCCCCCTTTAAAAGCAATAATAGTCAACACTTCTAAAACAAGTCAAAGTAATCAAATCTTCCATTTATTCAATAAACATTTACAGCAGGAGTTCTATATGCAAGATACTGTGCATTAAATACTACAAACATACAGAGGCACTTAAGAGTCAGTCTTTGTTCATGAAGAGGGGGAGGAAGAAAGTGCTAAGCCTCAGTTGTGAATACACAAGTAGGGGACTTAGTCAAATGAGTGCAGACTCCTGGATACATCTCCAAAGAATTTTAAGTTGCTACTAAAGCTTGCTATCTAGGGGATTCCCTTTTACTCTGACAAGGTGGGAGATACTAAATTTGTGATTAATTAAAATATTGATTTATGTATAATTGGACATATAAATTGGGTTTATATGTCCCAATTTGGGTTTTCTTGGGTTAAAATATTTGGGTTATTTTAATTTGGGTTAATTTTCTTGGGTTAAAATATTCCTGACTGGAGTCTTGTCATACATAAATAAATTTAAACAATCTTTCTTATTAAAGTTGCCGTGGAAATGAGAATAAATATACTCTAAGGAGCTAGAGGGTCTCTGAAACCTCCACAGTGGCATACAGTTGTGAAATATGAGAAAAGAGACAAGAGGGTAGTGCTTCTTGGTTTTGGTTCTCCAGCACTTACTTTGTGCCAGTCACTTTATATGCATTACAATAGACCTTTGCAGTTAGAACTGTCATCATCAACATATTACAGCCAGGGCTCTGAGGCTAAGGGAGATTAAGGCATTTTTCCCCCTAGCAGAGAGCAAACAAGAAGGAAGACTAAAGCTGAACTTTCTTTTCTCTAAATTGAGCATGAGGTTAGTGCATGAGTGCACGCACGCGCACACACAAACATGCACACACGCACACACACAAAGTCACTTACAGTTTGTTTATCATGGAGGGCCACCAGTGTCTGTGTCTCTGCCATAAAGAGAAAAAATAACCAATAGAACAATCAAGAATGTTTTCTGTTATCTGACTTTTCAAAAAAGTCGAAAAGATACCTAGAGTTCTATTTGTAATTATTTCAATATTTCAATACTCTTCACAAGGATTAATTGTGAGACTAACAAAATTTTCTTAACACTTGCAAATCAATTTTAGGGTGACCATATTTTTTTTAACCAGATAATGAACCGGACTACTTAAGTTCCATGATGAGGAGACCTCTGTAAGAAAGACCTATGTTGAATATATGGTTCATTGTGTCCACAGGGCCCCAGTGGGGCTGCAAAATTCCAACAACGTTAATTATACTCAAGCAGGCATTATATTGCAATTAGACTTTGAAAGATAACAAAACTTAATTTTCTTGAAAAAGTTTACCATTTACTCATTAAGAGGGAGACAGGGTATTTAGTTGCCTAAAAATGAAAGTAATACAACCATGGCTATAATTTACCATGAGCAGACATTGTGCTAAATTCTTTGCGCAAAATATCTCATTTAGTGTTCAAAACAATTATTCTAAAGTGAGTATTGTTAGCCTTGTCACACAGATGAAGAAGCTGATAATTCAAAAGTGAAGGGACTTACCAAGGTCACACGGCTTAGAGAATAACTGAAATGGCCTTCTGGTTTAGGTGTGCATAGCTTCAAATATAAACTCCTATCTGCGCTGCCTTCAACAACCTATGCCTCAATACTGTCACTATCAAGCGGTCATATTACCTACTTGCCAGCTCCCCTTCTTTCCTTTTCATCCATTTATTTGTTCATCTGTCTAGCCACTTGATGAACATGTACAACAATCCTACTCCATGCCAGGCACGCGGTGCAGATCCACAAACGGTATGGGCACAGACCCTGACCTCACAGACTCTACATTCTAAAAATCAATAGATTGTCAGCTTTGGGAAAATTAAAGATGTCTACTCATTTCTCTGGCTGAATAAGAGGCTTTGAAACTTCTTAAATGTCATGGCCACTTTCTGGAAGCCTAAAAATCTAAATCCTTTCATAAAGAACCCCTAATTTAACAAACCATGATTTCAATATTAAAATTTTAATATTATCAGCCTAAAAATATTTTTTTTAAAAAAAGAGAGATTATCTTCCACTTACCTTTGCTCTTTTTAATGCCTAAAAGGAATTTGAAGTAGAAAAACCACATTGGTGGAACTGTTAAGTAAACACTGAATCTTAACCACACATAAGATTTTCTAATATATACCCAGTTTCTGCTTCCCTAAAATTATTTTTCTTGGTCTAAATGGTAAGACTGACTTCTCCTTTAAAAAGAAAAAAATTCAATTAACAGTGAAAATAACCCAACAGTGCTCTATTTTATTGATTATCACAGCTTAACTTCACATAGATAGCTATCAACCAGGTGAGTGGGACAGTAAGAAAAATCTGCATTGGTTTTCCTAAAGAAACCAAGGCTCGGTTGAAGTGGAGGTGGCAGTGGGGTGGGATGTGATGGTTTTAAAAATATATAAATCTATAGTTTAACATCTAGTACATATTACCTGCCAGACATGGTGCTTAGCACTTTATTTGCATAATATCTTTTAATCTTCACCACAATACGTAGGTACTATTATTTTTCTATTTTTCAGATGAAGAACCTGAGTCTCAGAGAGGTGCTTTGCCTAAGATCTCACAACGAGTAATTGGCAAACCTGAGATTCAAACCCAATCTACCTCCAGAGCTAAGGACTCACCATGACCTAGTCCTGCTGCCTTCGGGTGGAAGAGACATTGCACTGTTTTGTGTTCAAGATATGTTTAGGAGCTTCCAAGACACTTGGAACTTTTACTTGTTAAGGCTCCACTCCACTTTATAGCAAACATACTAAATGTACCCACATTCCACATTAAAGGAAAGGTTTGTATAACTACATATAAGTTGACTGACAGGGAAGTAATTGAAATAATGTTACATATTATAGACAGGCCATTAAATAATAATTTTAATTTTTCATTTCATTTTCCCATTTTGGAACTGTTGCCTTTTTGCTTAAATATTTTCTCAGAGTCCTTTGAAAAGCTCAGAGACTGTAGGTACTATGCCAAATGCAAGAGCTGACCCCATCTTTGTTGCTCAAGAGGGAAGGAACCAACAGGTAAAAACTAAAGGGAAAAGCAGCTGTTTTTGATATGGACAACTCTGAGGAAATGCCTCATGAGGAAGGTGTGTGAGCATTCAGTGAATGCCCATTTGGCTGTGACACTGTAAAGAACATTGGAGCACAGGATGGGAATGTGCTCATATAATAAACATGTGGTATGACTTGATTAAGCCACAATGTGGATTGTCATCTGGTTCCACCACATTTAATTTCTTCATTAATCGCATAAGAGATGTTGGCTGGCTACCAATCACTAAAGGATCACCAAAGATGAAACCATTAGAGAGCTGAAGTTAATACTTTTAATAATAACTAATATTGGAGTGCTTTCTGTGGGCTAGGTACTATGAGCACTTTACATACATTACCACACTCAATTTTTATAATAATGGCATGCAATAGGTACTGGGATTTCCCCCAGTGTAGAAGTAAGGGAATTGAGCCTCAAAGAGTTTGAGCAATTTTGCTTTGACCTATAAAGCTAGTATGAAGATAATGGAACCCTGTTGCTGACATACTTAACCACAATCTCATTCTGCCTCCAGGTCTTACTGGTAATGTTAAAGATGATAACCAACATGTTATGAGTACATACTATAATCAAATACTGGGCTAAGCACTGGAGACACCGTTTCTTATTTAAATCTCATAAAGTGGGACTTAGGAGATTAAGATATGGGATGTACCTGTTATTACCCTCATCTTCCTGAATGGAAGACTACACCCCTCAGAGTATAAGAGGGACCAGGAATCTGACAGGAGACATCTAAGATTAATCTCCCTGCTCAGTGTGACCTGTGGTCTGCTATTTTGACCCTATCTTCTCTTCCAGAGCAACATGGAAAAGTCCTGCTGAATTACTCAAAGAATGTAGCTGCTTCTTCTGAGGCTAGAATTAAAGATGCTGGGCTTCATTCCAGTTAAAAGAGATCCTTGAAATCATCTAATCCAACCCCAAATAGGGACTGGAGCCAGTTCGTGACAAAGACATCCCCAGTCTGGGAGTCAATTGGAAAATAATGGCAATGTAATGAGTTTTTCATTAAGACTAAATTTATTTAATTTAAAAACATTTCTTTTTTTAACACAATAATGGCATTAGAATTTTTTTTCTTATTTGGCAAAATATGTAGATCACCAGAACTCTTTTTTTTGGATGGGGTGGGAATTTTACCAGGTTACAAAATCCAAAGTCTGTGAACCCTCTCCTTGAACAGGCAAGAAGCAGAGATCCAGGGAAATGAAAGGTTTCAGCCCAGGTCACAGGGCTACTTGTGACTAATTCTGAATCTTAGCTCAGGGTTCCTTTTCCCAGCACAGGTTTGGGCCCATTACCCCCCCCACACACACACTATCTCATGTGCACAGGGACATTCATGCCTCCACTCAAACATTTTTCTCATCTCTTTCCCATATTCAAAATCCCCCAAACTCAAAAAACACCTGAAGTCTTGCTGCTACACCTCCTGTGTAATTACCTGAGCCATGTCCCTTGGTGGTGAGCATCAGTGGAAAGGGTGCAGTGAAGTCTCTCCATAGAGTCCAAGTAGCGATGACCTTGGCTAATATCAGAAACCAACATAAGGATGAGTCTCCTCTAAGAGCAGAGAACTTGTTGCAGGGAATCAAAGCAGAAAAAAATCTGAAGTGCAACAAATGAAGGGAAGCACCTGCCCAACTGCCAAACCTACCCAGACTCCTTCCTTGAGAGTGTATTACACTCTTAAAATGTTGGTTATAGGTGTGTTACAGTCATCATTGCCACAGTCTCATTGTTCATAATAGAACTAACAGCCACTCAAATGGCCACCCTAAATGCTTTTCATAAACACCTCATAAAATCCTTCCAGTGGCTTCTGGCTTCTGTGATAGGTATTACCATATGTCATAGAAGAGGAGTTTACAGAGTTTAAATAACTTGCCCAAGATTACACAGATAGGTAAGAGGCAAAGTTGGATTTGAACTCAACTCCATTAGCCACACACTATATGCTCTATAAATCCCAAAACATGTGAGCATAGACACCCTACTCCTCCCTACCCCACAGGGACACAATCAAGTGGTTCTCAATCTTGGCCATACGGGGAAGGGGGGAAGAATCATTTAAGGTAGACTATATAAAATCCCAGTGCTCAGGCTCTACCTGCTAGGATGCCAATGTATCTGGTTCATGGGTACGGACCAAGGAACTATGGGTTTTAAAAAGTTTTCCAGGTGATTCTAATGAGTAGTCAGGTTCTCAAACCACCAATCTTGACTTTTCCTCCCACTCTATAGATCCTGACGATGGTTTTAAAATAGGTGAAGGGAATTAAAAGTGGCTGGGCATTGCTGGTGGAGCCTGTTAAACTTTAGGTCTCAGAGACCCACCCTCAGGGCTGTAACTGGGGAGATCAGAAGTACTACCGATTAGTATATTTAATATTACCTGCAGGTGATTTTATCCAAGAAGGAATGCAAAGGTCCACTCACCCGGTTTGATGACCAACTCCAGGTTTGACTTTTTATCATTCATTAGGCCTGGGAATTGGATCCGGCAGCAATAGGTCCCACTGTCGGCTAGAGTCACATTCTCTATAGTCAAGGACACATCTCCTTTGTGGAAATTCCTCATTAGCCGGTATCTGTTGGATGTCTGATATTTCAAGTTCCTTCCATCTGTGCTGAGCACCGTATTATGACATTCAAACACAGGACAGGATCCCTTGCCCCAGCATATAGGCACAAGATTCTCAGAAGTGGTTGGAGAGTAGGTGCAGGGCAGATCAGCATTCTGACCCACTTCAGCTACATATGCCCCTTCTGAAGACCCTGAATAAAGACAGAAAGAGAGCAAGACCCAAGCGATGAATGAGGTTGGGGATTTCAAGAAAACTGCAAGTAATGCCTTATAGAATAAAAGGGAAACCAGTGCTGCTGTCCTGGTTGGAAGATGATTCACTAAGACAATGATTCTCAGACTTGAGTAGCATCAGAATCACTGGGAAGATGTATTTAAACACAGATGGCTGGGCTCAACGGCTAGAATTCCTAATTCAATAGGTCTGGGGTAGGGTATAAGAATTTGAATTTCTAGCAAGTTCCCAGGAGCTGTTGGCATGGCCGGTCTCAGAAACTCACTTTGAGAACCAATGCCCGAAGAGAGAATTGTGGTCCAGCCCTGTGAACACCAAAGGGCAAAGCTGATGGAAACAGATAATCAGAAAATGGGTCATTGTCAGCCAGTAAAACAGCTCACTGGCCTGGGCTAGTTGTCTGCTCACCAATGAAACACAGTTAACCTGACCTAAATCTCTCTTTTTTTTAAGCACTTGGCACATAATAAATAAAAGCAATTGGCTGAGTAAGAAGCTTGTGTATTTAAAACCACTCACAAGCTATTTTGAGATTTAAAATTAATTGCCTTTACGTTTATATATATATTACCAAATATATATATATATATATATATTACCAAATACATATATATATATATATAGTAAAACATTTAAATAGTATAAAAGGTACACGAGAATATACTCCCTCTCCCTACTCCTTCCCATTTTCCAGATCCCCTTCCCAGAGTCTATACATTAGGGAGCATTCAGGTATTCCCACTGCCTGCAACACACATACACACATAAAAATGTAATACATGCGTCCTTCTACACCTTCTTTTTTTCAATTGACTTTTGACTTAGAGACGTTTCACATGGCTATGTGTAGTCAGTTTCCCTGTTTGCATCATGGATTTATCACAACTTATTTACCTTCTCCCCCACTGGTGGACATTTAGGTTGCTTCCAAACTTGCTATTACAAACAATACAATGACCATCCTTGTATCTTTATCCTGTAGTATTCAAGTGTGAAAGTCCATGCCCAGACTTACTTGTGAGGAGTAGCAGCAACAGCAGGACACAGTCAAAGGAAAGATGTGAAACCATGGATTCTGAAGACAAGTCAAATAACAGCTCTGTTTAGTTTTAATTCTCCAGTGGAACTGGGGAGCTCTTGCAGTTGTATCTTCTCCACTGCCCTCAACTGATGGCCCAGCACATCAGCGCATCTGACTACAAATCTTTCCTCTCTATTGCTGCCAAGTCCACAGTTAGATCAAAGGAAACCCCAGTTCTCTGTCATGCTACACCACAGACATCCTGTCAGTCTCTGATATTTATCCGTTGGTATCAACGAAGAGGAAGCAACACTCAGAGAAAGAAAAGTGTCTCTCAGTCAAGAAAATTCTGTTAGCAAATAGAGAGACCCCTCATATCTCCAATGAAATAATCCTCTGTGTGAAATGGATGGCATATGGGTCCAGCTAGTTACAAGGGAACACAAGGTAGAAACATATCATCCATGTGTTCATTCAGTCAGATCAGCCAGTTGGTTGATCACGTGACCAATGTGAATGAAGCACCTACTAGGTGTCAGGAACTGGACTGGGAGCTGGAGATCATGACAATGAATGGCGTGTTCTTTAACCTCACATTTATGAGTCCTTTCCACTCCACCCCTGAGTTTAATTCTTAGCCTTGTTCTAACACAAGTTGGCTGTGTCGTGTAACCTTGCTGGATCTCAGTTCCTTCATTTATAAAACACATCAAATGAGGAAATTGTGTTAGGTGACATATGCACAGCTCCCTGCTCTAGTACTCTGACTCAAACCCTTCCACTTAGGAAAGATATATTCCTTTCTGCAATGTTTCTTTTTGCCCACTGTCCAGGGGAAGAGAGGGGACCCCAATATTCTGTTTCATCTAATGTACACAAAATGTCCCCTCCTCTCCACCCCAAAGACAACTTCCGGCATGAATTGTCAGAAATTATTGAGTTCCAGCTCCACTCTCCATCACAGAGGTAACATCTCAGACCCCAACAGTCTCAGCCCTGAGACAGTGACATTTGTCTGAGAGCCTTAAAAGCCAATGGTTCTTTACAAGAATGAGCTCATAGACTGAATAGTCTTTGAAAACATGGCGGCCTTCCTCCATGCTGCTGAACTTCCTTGTCACACATCTTTCTAGCGCTAAATGCATTTAATATAAATGTCCAGCTCGTTTAGTGTGTGCACTTCAATAGCATCACAAATGTAGCAGTTACTCAAGAGATCACAGTCAATTTCTTCATCTTATAGATAGGGAAACTGAGACCTCATGAAGTTGATCTGCCCAAAGGCACCTGATTGGTCATTTCAAATGAGAACTGAGTCCCTTGAGCTTCAGATTTTTTTCCAGTATAAACTGTTTTATGAACTTCATATTTGCCCTTTATATATCTGCCTACATAACTAATAACAACCAGCAAATGTCAATATTCAAGAATAAGGCAGAATGGATTAAAGATGGGGTCAGAGGTCATGTTTACCGCCTGACCACCTCCCCCCAACCCTCCTCACCCCCAGCAATACTCTTAAAAGTTTTAGCCCTCAGATTTTGTGTTCTGTTTTTTTTTCTTTTTTTACTGTTTTGTTTTTTATTGTTAGTACTCTGTTTTCCGTCCATCTCTAGAGTTACTGCTGGAACTGGCTTTATAAAATATTAACAACTGGGATCCCTGGGTGGCGCAGCGGTTTGGCGCCTGCCTTTGGCCCAGGGCGCGATCCTGGAGACCCGGGATCGAATCCCACGTCGGGCTCCTGGTGCATGGAGCCTGCTTCTCCCTCTGCCTGTGTCTCTGCCTCTCTCTCTCTCTCTCTCTCTCTCTCTCTCTCTGTGTGACTATCATAAATAAATAAAAAAAATTTAAAAAAATAAAATAAAATATTAACAATTTATTAATTCATTGAAGTCTAGTCATAAACGAGCCTAGAAATCTACTCTAACTCCCTTCTTTTTTCCCCCTATATATAAGAGGCTGTTTCTGAGCATTTTCATGTTTATTTAACTTCTATTTCTTGTTTCTCCAAAAAAAAACCTGTTTAGATAATTCATCCAAATGGCTAAAATTTAAAGCAATATCAAAACTTTATGAAGAAGTCTTGTTCGCACTCCTCCAAGTCTACCAACTTCCCCCACCCACCCTGTAGGTTTCTGTTTCCTAAGTGTCATGTGTATACCCCCAATGAAAACACAAGAAAATAAAATATATATTTGTATTCCCTCCTTTCTTAGACAAATTGTATACCTGTGTTGCACCTTGTATTTTCTATGTATTGTTTTATAAAAAAAATTTTGACATACACAAAAGCAGAGAGAAAAATATGACTTCCCAACACACAGATTCAAAATTATCAACTTCTATATTAAGACAAATCCCAGACATGTTATTTCACCCTTACAGACTTCAGTGTGCATTTTGCTTTTTTTTTTTAATTTATTTGTTTATGATAGTCACAGAGAGAGAGAGAGAGAGAGAGAGGCAGAGACACAGGCAGAGGGAGAAGCAGGCTCCATGCACCGGGAGCCCGATGTGGGACTCGATCCCGGGTCTCCAGGATCGCGCCCTGGGCCAAAGGCAGGCGCCAAACCGCTGCGCCACCCAGGGATCCCGCATTTTGCTTTTTGAAAGTGGATATTCTGCTGCTTAACCACAATACTATTATTACACATGCCCAAATTAATAATGATGTCTTAGCACTTAATTGTTCACTCCATAATCAAATTTTCCCTGATTATCTCAAAGATACCCTTTTACAATACATTTGTTTATATCCAGATCCAAACAAGGTCCCTGTGTTCCATTTGGTTGATATGTCTCTTAAGTATCTTAATCTTCCTTCCATCCCCCTGCCACCAACTGGTTGTCCAAACCAGTTATTCTGCAGAATGTTCCACATTCTGGGTTTGCCTGCTTCCTTGTGGTAACATTTAAATTATTCCTCTTTTCTGTGTGTTTCCTATAAAGGAAACTTAGCTCTAATAGTTTAGTTAGATTCAGTTTGACTTTTTGGCAAGAGTACTTCACAGCTGGTGCTGTGTGCTTCAGATTCCACCACAATTATCTGGTTGTGTGTAGAGTACTAACACTGATCAGCTTGCATCTTTCTTTTTAAACTTCACTCTCTATTCCAAAGATCTCTGCATTCCATCTCATAAAATTTCCTCATTCTTTATTACAGCCCTGTGGATGCCACTGAATGAAAACATTGTGTGAAAGCAACAATGTTATCATCCCCTTGAAATGGACCCGTCACATCTCAGTTTATTTATAAAGTTGATCATAAAAGATCCATAGAGGCCTATGGTTCTTTAATTACATGCAATAGAAGTTTGCTTCTTAAAGGAGCCTGGAATGTGTTTCTGGTAAAGAAGTCTTATGTATGGTAATTAATTCATTTCTAAATTGTGTTAAGAAAGTTGTATTGTGAGTTTTCATAAGGTATGTTTGTTGAATGTTAGCTACAATTATGTAGTGGGGTACTACATATAATACCACATACAGTGTTTTTGCTTTTCCCCTTCAGTAGCAGGAAAAGTGGCAAAAAAATCTGACTCTTTAAAGATAGTCTCCAAGCACCAAATGAAAGTATTAGGATTACATGTAGTTAGAAGTTACAGTGATAGGTAACTAAAGGGCCACTAGACAAAATTCATAATGGAAGTTAGTTTTATACAGGTCAGGAGACAGGAGAACATGGGTGATACAGATGGGATTATCTGGAAAAACTCAGTCTAGTTAGAATCTACCTTGTGCAGTGGGGGTGCTGCAAAAGAATGGGTATTGGAGAGATGACTACATAAGGAATCCTATATATTCTTGATTTGAATCAAAAGCCCTATCTTACTCAAACCATAAAACTTTAGTTTCCATGTAGTATTACTCGCAAGGTTTTGCAAAGGGAGGCACTAAATTTGGATATTAAGGATAAGAAGTTAAGTGAAGCAATTTTGAACTAGGTCTTCTGACTTCCAGATTGCATCTAGCCATGTGACTTCCCTTTAAAAAAAAGTGCTTGTAAGGAACTGAGTGGGAAATATTAGAGAGGGAGACAAACCATGAGAGACTCCTAACTCTGGGAAATTAACAAATGGTTGCAGAAAGGGAGGTGGGTGGGGGGTTGGGGTAACTGGGTGATGGGCACTGAGGAGGGCACTTGAGGGGATAAGCACTAGGTGTTATACTATATGTTGGCAAATCGAACTTCAATAAAAACAAAACAAAACAAACAAAGGTGCTTGTTAGAAATAAGTCAGTCAGGAAAGACAAGTACCATGTGCTTTTACATAGAATTTAAGAAACAAACAAGCATGGGGGAAAGTGTGAGAGAGACAACTCAAGAAAAGGAATCTTAACTATAGAGAACAAACCAATGGTTACCAGAAGGGAGGTGGGCAGCGGGATGGATGGAAATAGGCAATGCGGATGAACAAGAGTGCACCTGTTGTGATGAGCACCAGGTGACGTATGGAAGTGCTGAATCACTATATCACCTGCAACTAATTTTACACTGGCTATTAACTAACTGAAATTTAAATAAAAACTTTGAAAATAAATAAATAAAAGTGCTTGTAAAAAAGCTTTCAGTACTTGAAAACTTTTTTTAGGGGCACCTGGGTGGTTCCGTGTTGAGCATCTAACTTTGGCTCAGGTCATGATCCTGGGGCCCTGGGATCGAGTCCCACATCAGGCACCTGGCAGGAAGACTGCCTCTCCCTCTGCCTATGTCACAGACTCTTTCTCTGTATCTCATGAATAAATAAAAATCTTAAAAAAAAATACCTTTTTATTATATAAGTCACACTCATTGTAGAAATTTCTGGGAAAAAAAAGAATATAAATAAATAAAAACCGTGATCTCAGTAGCATGAAATCCTACTGTCAACATAATGGATCTCCTTTCAGATCTTTGTCTGGGTTCATCTCTAAATATAGGAACATGTTCATGTCAGTACCTCTTGTGGGTAGATCACCAGAAAGTCTCACTCATGGATAGTTAGGAACACCATGAACACAAGGGGATGTAGGAGAAGGTACAAAACATATCTATATACTCCTCATTAAACTATCAGTTCAAAGACTCTACCTCAGATGAAAGTCTTTTATTTTTATTCTTTTTTTTTTTTTTTTTTTTTTGTCATCTCCATGCACTCATTTGCATTAGGTTGCTCTCAGCATTGCCCTCCCCACCAGGCCCCAACCTGAGAGGGCAATCTCAAACCAGAGATCCTGGGCAGACCTGAAGGCAACTTCTAGGTCTTCAGAATGATGATACA